AAAACATTAAATCTTTCTCAACTGTGACGTCCCCTTTTTGGGTTAAAACAGCCACTAAGAATTTTCCTATGTGGAGATTCTTCCTTTCTGGAATTAAATAATCCAAGATTAGAAAACTATTTCATATTTTACAGATACATTATCATTACTATGCCCTTCAAAGATTTGCACCTCCTCTTTTTCAGGTTCGAATAACAGCACACAGTTTGTGAGGAGAAGGACTGATAGTTATTCCCCCACATGAAGTCAGCTCTAAGTCATCCGGTGAAGCTCCAGGAGCAGGGGTGAAACGGAAATGCTGCAGGAGGGTGGTAAAGAAGATGAAGAGCTCCATCCTGGCCAGACTCTCTCCAAGACAAATCCTGCGTCCTGCAAGAGAACGAAAGAAGAGACCTTTGTACGACTCGTCTCTGAATGAAACCTCAACAACAAATTGCTGAACTCATAAACCTGCAGAGAACGGCATGAAGGCGTCTCGCTTCACAAATTTCCCATCTTTGTCCAGAAAGTGAGCCGGATGAAAGGTGTTTGGTTTCTCCCACTCATGAGGATCGAGCAGGACAGAACTGAGGAGAGGAAAAACTGCAGTTCCCTGCAAAAACAAACAGAAACTGGCCTGAAAACGGCATTTGTCGGAATTAAAGCTGCAGTTGTCACTTTTTAAACAAATGTTCTACTGTAAAAATGTGTCATGAAATAAAATGAGAACTGCAGTGAAAAAGTCAAGTAAAAACACTGAAGATAAAAAAATACAACTGTTATTGAACTAAACAGTCAACTCAGAATAAATCGGACAAAATAACAGTTTTAGACTTGAACAATTACACAATTCAATTCAGTTCATTTATATAAGCATAAAGTCACAGCAGAAGTCATCTCAGGACACGGAACAGAAACATTCATACACTGTATACTTCAGATTATAAGGTGCATTAAGAGAAACAAATCAGATAAGTCAAACTTTATTCAACTCAATTTGAAGATTTTTTTGTTTTTTTCACATTAACAAAATGCTTTATTCTGCAAAATACAAGTACAAAATACAGTTGTCTAAAGCCTTTTTTAAAACTGTATTGTAACGCAATATGAGTGGTTTATAGCTCATTTAAATAAATGTTATTATGCTCTCACAGTATTTTATTTTTTAACAGAACTTGTTCACCAGTTGAGTTGACTGGTTGATAATTAACTGGTGTTCAGCTCATGACGCCGGTCATGGTGTTCCTTTTTTAAGATGTCAAAGTTCACGTGTTTTTATGCCAAAATTTCAAAGCATCAGTGCTCGGAGTCGTGTGTGAGGACCTCCATCTTTCACTCTGGAACACCTGAATAACTGCGTGACAGATCAAATGTTCCAACTAAGACATTTTATTATTTTAAGAAAAAATTACAAGGTCATTTTGAATTGACTTGTGTAATGCCAACACATTTTAAAATAAAAAAATTGTCACAAATTGTACAATTTTTTTCGAATAAACACTTATAATGTTAAAATGTGGCTTTATGAGAATTACAAATTACTGAAATTGTTTTTAAGTCACAAACACATTTTCCTTATGTCTTCAGAACGAGGATGGATTAACTAATTCAATAGGCTTTGTGCACCGTATCATTTTTTTCCTGACACAGTATATATATATATAAAGTGTTACACCACCAAGTAGTAATCTCCTTAAGTGGACCAACCAGATTGCTGGAGCTTACTGCTAACTGCTAACAGCAATAT